AACATGATTGTTTGATTTAAAATAGGTTTTAGTATATTTTATTGTTCGAGTCCTATGTAACAACTGACACTTTTTTTGTTACTTATTCGGGCATTTTATTATTAAAGTCACATGACTTTAATAATAATATGCCTGAATAAGTAAATTGTGCAATTTTATATATTTATTTTAACGTTAGATATAGATTTTATAATTCACGGCATTATAAAAAATTGCAAATATGCAATCAAGAATTTACATAAACTTCTTAGCAGAGAATTAAATTATTATCTAATTATTAAGTGAAATATTCAAAGTAATGTTAAGCGGTTTGTCACTTTTGGGAAGTTGAAGTATAATCTTATTTGTAGCTTTCTTCAACGGCATTCTTTGGTGATACTTGTATAATTTAATTTTTTCAGGATCATTCGTAGGAATCTTAAATGGCTTGAGGACTTTAGGATTTAAACCATCGATATTACCCAGAATAGAAAAATTTTCACGTACGTAAGTAGCATGCTAATGCAGCATAACAGTTGTTAATTGATTCAACTTTAAATGGTTTGCCGTCAATTTTCGTAAGCCATGCAATAAACAAGTTTAAAAATTCATCGAGTTCAACTTTATTGTCAATTTGATCAATCGTTTTATTAATGCTATTTGCTTGACGATATGGCGGAGCCATTTAGTAGTGTCTTTTTCAGTATTAGCTACATAAGATAGATTTTTTTAAATGTTTAGTTTCTTCATGTAAATTTCTAATAGTCATTTTTTAGGATCCAAATAAAAAAAAAAGATAAAAAAAAAAAGATAAAATAGCTTAAATATCAAAAAAAAAAATTTATTTGACGTCAGCATAGGACCCAAACGATAAAAGTTATCATGCACAAAATATACGATAACTAGATTTTATGCACAAATGTGCCTGTAACTAGTTATCGTGCACGAATAAATATTTACTAATTTGGGGGAACGCTAAAGCCCGTTTTAAGTAGGGATAGGGTTACTTTTTTGATTCAGTTAGTAGGTTTTTAAGTACTGTATATATATCAAGAACACAATTTATGCAATATGTAGGTTAATATGAGAACGAAACTGACGTAACGAAC